TATCGGAAATGGTTATCGTGAGGTCTTTGCCCGTTTCTGGGCACCTTATGAACGCCATCGTTCCGCAGTAGATGCCTTAGCGACGCAAAATTGGTCCTCACCTCTATCATGAGCTCGAGCCATGATGCTAACCTTACGCAACGAGTTAAAGGTAAGTGGCACGATAAATCCTCAAGATGTGTAGGACTAGTACGCCTAGCAGGACAAAATTCGGCGTGCGCTGCGTGGCTCCTTTTGCGAGGAAAGTACCTTATCCAGCGCTCTATCAAGCTGCAACATAACATACGCAGTCCGGGCTCGCCTGCTCACAAACGTGGGACCTACGCCAATGTTCGTGTTGCTCCATTTGCGAAAAGCAGTATGAAGCGAAGGAGATTGATATGAAGCGGCTGCGATGCTGCAGGGATATATGAGGGCATACAAGCAGCCGTATCTACCGTAGCGGTTACTGGCAGATGCCAACAGAAAACCCATCTGAAGTTGCTCTCTCGGTCATGTAATAGAGGCTTTTTTGCAAGTTTTCGACCACGTCACTTCGCTTGTTCGCCATTTCCCACTATAAGCATCTTTGATATCATTTCACACCACGTAACGAACTATGGTGCCTTATGTCCTCAATTAAAAAAACGACTTGTCAACAACGTCTGAGCCATATAGGTGAGAAGGGAGAGCCGTCCAGCTGTATTGCGGACTACGTGACAACTACAACTTTCGGTGGGGATCCTGCTGCGAAAAGCCAGAGCGCAGAGAAATAAAGGACCGCGGCCGCAAAGGCATCGAGGAGTACAAAACTGTGGCGAGCTGGAGATAATTTTTTTCAGAGGGAGAGGACACCGAGGAGAGGAGGGGCTAGCCACTCATTACGCGTGAGAAAATGTTATGTGAAAGGTCAATGCGGTCACAAAAGCTATGCAGACGTGAAAATGCATGAGAAAAAGTGAGAAGTTGGCGCCCATCAAAGAGATTCAGTTTTAGTTGTCCGGTAGATGTTTATGCAAATGTACGCGCATTGCACTATTCCTTGGGTACTCTTTTTTCGTAAATGGATCGACCGTCACTAACAGGGAACGTTTGAGGAAGACTGTCGTTAGGATGTGTTTCCATGCTGCTTCAATTTCAACGACGAATGCAATGTTATTGCTGCAGTTGGCAGTCGCCTAAAGTGATAGTAGTTTCTACCAAAATCCCGGAAAGCTGGTTCGTTGTACAAGCTTAATTTCTATTCTGTTTCCTCGTTTTTTTTCAAGGGTCGCATGACATTTGGGGCAGCTGTATCGGTTTTCTTTCATGAACTCAGTAAGCTTGTGGAATACTTCCATTACAGGAGAATGCCTTTTCGTTCTCTGACGCTTTTCGCTTTTTCCTCACTGTCAAGCCACTGATCACTCCGACTTCCATTTTTTGAAACCGGATGAGCGAGGGGTATCACGGGGAGATTTTTCTTGAATCAAGTTTTATCGCGCTTTTTCGCGCAGTTCAAGAACAGCTTACACAAAATGCTCCATCACTGATATGTTCCCCCCCCAACTCTTTGTATTCCCTCCGCACTTTACTGGTGAAGCTTACGGATTGGCACCCTCGCGATAATCCTCGTGATAGCATAACTCGCTAGTTTTCAATGACGCAAGCATGCTTGGAGATTTACAAATACACCGCAACCTAACGCCTAATCAGGTAGTTCCTTATGTGGTATATAGCTATTTGTCGATAGATCCGATCATTGTGGTAGGTTCCATGCTATTTTCCGTGGCTCATACGTTTTAGCTACTGCAACATGTAGCAAAAAACTGGTGGAAGCCTTGTTTTATTGCCGGGCACATTAATGTTGTTCTTCTAGCTCGTTAGAGGTGGCGACCTAGATTACGGGTTATAAAGCTGAGCATATCCTCGGCAGTCAGTATCCGGTTATGTTGCTTCCAGTGCGGCTATTCCTTCTTGTGATTAGTTTTGCTGTCTGTTATGCATCACAAACTTCTAAAGCATCGTAAGTGTATACATTAGTACATTGATCTATAAACTGTGGGGCAGTAATACAACGAGATGATAAGTATTTCCCTATTATCGACAAAGACGTATAGGAACCGCACTCAGAACTGCGTTTAGGTACGGCACTGGTAAGTGAGTATGATGGCTATGGACACGATGAAGCCCATCACCATGGTGAATTCCGTGAAAATGCCCATCATGCTCACAGCCACGAAAAAGGTGGCTTCTCTGAAGGGGATAAAGCGTCCAGTGCAGTGAAATATGCCAGCTCTGGTGACTCGGGTGAACACAGCTCAGGCGGTCACCATGAAAGCGATGGTAGCAAACACTCCGGAACTTCGAGTGATCACGGAAAAGGTAATCTCGTAGTTAGTCCTGCATTTCCTTCGAATTAAGGAGTATAAAGGAACGGAAAAATCTCGAAACACTTCCTAGAGCTCTAATCCTGCTGACATGCTTCAGATACAAAAACAAAGTCGTATGGCTTCTTCGACTACAAGTATGTGCAGCCACAATTCCACATAGAAAAGTTCCACTCAGACGAGAAACATGCGAAAAAATATGGTTCCGATTCCCACGCATCGGCGGCACAAGAGTATTCGGATGGTGATCATTACAGTAAAGGACATGAGGCCTATCACGATAACCATGGGGCGCATAAATCGCATCATGGAGAATCTAGGCATGGTGAAGATGGCCACGGATTCGACAAAAAAGGCCATTATTCCGGATACGGTACGTTGTGCTTTATGACGATAGTACAGAATTGCTGTTTTAGTTGATAAGTAATGCAAGTAATATTATCACTTGATGACTCCGATCATATAGTGACACCAACCTCCGCATTTAAGGCGGCAACAAAGGTGGCCATTATGATTATGGGACGTAAAGGGCACGATGAAGAATACAGTCAGTACTATCATGAGCCTCATCATGATACAGATTCGCTTGAACACGAAGCACATCATGGACATGGGAGACATCAAGATTACGGTAACGGTCATCATGACCATCACCCCTACTACGGCTATGAATATGATTCTTACTATTGATCTTTCTATCGTGAAGTGTCTTCTTTTTTGTGCAGTCGTAACTTTGATTGTTCTGAGATTCTCAAAGATATGTCTTTATATTGCAAACAATCCCATGACTATGAATTATTTGATTTTACTCATTGTTCCGGGATGAAATTCCTAACTCGAAATAATTTTCATCAAAAGAGGAGTCACTGTATATTACTCGGATGCAAACCAATCTGATCTTCCAACCCTCCCTGGGAGGTGAAATACGTAAAACGTGGGAAGTATTAAGGCTTCCTTTCTTTACTGCGCTCATCTGTCATGAATAGACATTGTAACGCTGTTTGGCAATCTGTCATTCCCTCAGTACCAGAAAGGTCCAAGTGGAGCAGTGGTGTAGCAACGTTTTTGAAAGAGCGAGAAGCGATTTGCGCACACATCTTCTCATTCGAAGAGAATGGGGCGAGAATGCAAAAGAAGTGAAGTGAAAAGTAGAAGAACCTTGTCATCGAATTTCAGATCAAAACATCAATACGAAGGGATTGGAAAGAAATAAAGAAACAGGATCAGACCGGTTGGCCATGCAACGTAACTCGCTTGCTAGATAATTCAACGCCTCAACGAGGTCATTTTGTGCTAATTTACCCTGAATCATAGCTCAATGTGCAAAGGCCTCGAACCTGCCTGTCACGTATTCGCAAGATCAATTGGGCATTGATTTCGCGAAGACCGTTTGGGCTTAGGTGAAGACCTCGAGACTAAAACACAGGGCAGTAACATGCAGATATGCGGACGCTTCGAAACCATAGGTCATCAGTAGTTTTACACATCTGGCATCAGCCCAGTGCTGCCAAATATTTATGACAAGAGCTAGCTGCTCGCGTGGCAGCTGGACGTGAGGCGTGCAATTCAACGGTAGGATAGGGATTGGGGCACTGTGGATGGGTGGGGTTGGTGGGGTACGACTGCGAAGCGTAGAGTGCGCTTCAATAGGAGCGCTTCCCTAACAGTGGGAACCAGAATTCACAGTGAAATTTAGGCACAAGAGGGGAAGGAAAAACACTAAGCAGAGTTGCGAACGCAGTTCATGTCCGTGGTAGTCAATTTCAGGTAATGTTTTGAATGATGATATCGCGTATTTTTTTTTTTTTTTTTTTTTTTTTTTTTTTTTTTTTTTTTTTTTTTTTTTTTTTTTTTTTTTTTTTTTTTTTTTTTTTTTTTCGCTTTTTTTTTTTAGGAAAACGAATAATGCGAGAATATGCCAAAAATTAGCATGCGCTATCGTTTTATGAAGTCTCATTGGAATGGATCTCGATGGTAATACAAAGGTAAGTGCTGATGGCAGCAGCGTTTTGATGACTGGAATGGTGAGCGAAATTTGCGCTTTTGCTAACGCGAGACAATTGCGGCTGTATTGAACGTACTGTTGTCTTCTATCGTACAGATCTATGTATAGAATGGGGGTTATGGCCCAAATCACCACCCCTTCTGCAACTGGAAGCGTGGACTCAGGGATCGTTACTCAGTCTGTTACGATTCGATCAAAACAACGCAATTCGAGTAAATCCCTTTAGTAATTCTTTTAGTAATATATTAGTAATTCTTAGTAAATTGACAAGTCAGTTTCGCATTGTGAGCAACGCGCCTGAACCCAAGCCAGCGCGGCGAGTCCGGGCCAAGGAAGAAAGAAGAGAGCTAGGCGTAAGCCGCGCGATCCGACTGGTACCGAAATAATATCGTCACATTTGTGGTGGGTGGTGTCGACGCGAGTGCGAAAAGCCGCGTTTTCTAGCAGCGGTCAGTTAAAGGCGCGGTCCGCGATCAGGTAATCGCAAGTTGAGGTTAAAGTGGTCGCGCGCACAACAACCTTGTACCGGTTCGCGCAGATAAAGATTCTATGGAGATGCGCTGTGCGCAATATAGGTCTGTGCTCCTGCCTTTTTCCCAGTGACGTCCGGCCTCAGAGCTCCGCCCATGATGACCGACTTCAGTGGAAATGAGACGCGCAGGACGAAAAAGCATGATAATCGCCACTTGTACGATCGTAGAAATCTTATCGGTGAATCAGCCGTGCATATGAGGGCGTAGTTTTGGAGATAGAGTTGATTGGGCACGTACAAACTGGGATCGAAATGGGTTCTATCTAGGGCAGGTGGCATGTTTTTGTGCTTTTTTGTTCACAGTCGAGTTAACTCACCTGTCTGGAACCACCCTAATCCACACTGAGATGTGGGCCGAGTAAATCGCGGGTTCTCCTTTAAAGTAGCAAAACGCATCTAGCCGGACTGGCAATGATACCAGTTGTAGATACTAGATGCAGACTGCTGTTTAATAAACAATTGATTTTCCTTGTTGATGACGTTCAGTTAGTTCAACTCATACTCTTCTAATTCATATGAAACACGACTGATCACATGCAAATTACATTTGGTAAATACACAAATGTGAACACATCAGGAATCAACGAAGTGTTTATAAAGTCATATTTGACCACATATGGAGAATGACGAGCAGCGGATGTCACAGAATTCCTTCATTTCCTAAATGTATTGGATGAAGTTGTCGGGAACAAATGGCAGTTAATTGAGTGAGTGGGTGTAGTTTTGTTGGGGAAAACCATAACGCTACGGAATTGTGTGGGGCTACTTTCTATTGCTTGACCACTTGACCCTATGAGGTAAGTTCGGCCCGGTGGGGGCATTTAGCTGATTCCCAACGATGATGGTGATGCTTTCTGTGAAGACTCGTAAAGTTGGCACGCTCTGCAACAGCACTAGCTGCCTTTACACTTGACAAGAGTCTACAGAACTCACTAGTTCTATATAATGAGGCAGAAGCGTAGAGAAGGTGGGTAGCGTTTGGGTCTCCGCACGGAGTCCATAACGCACAGCATAAGCTTTTATGCCGAGGTCCCACGGCGAACAACATAAAACGCAAGCTGCATGTCCCGCCAGGAGAAAGATTCTTGACCAACGGAGGGAGGCATAGACAAGAAGGGCAATTAACTTAGTTGGGCACACAGCTGGTAGTCCGGCATGTGACGTGCAGCGTGCTTGCGGATGATGCCTCAAATGGCATCCATCACCTCCCAGTCGCACTCGCGCGTTTTCAGTTTTGAAAGACACACGGTTATGCAGCAGCGGCTCCGCTCTCCTCGCACATGGCAAAGATCAGGATCCTCGGTGGTGAGAGTACAGCGTCCCTTCGGAATGAGATTTTGTGGTTCTGGTTATGGTCTTTTTGAGGAACTACACTCAAAATTTCAGAAGAATGGCAGTGAAAAAAGGCTCAAGAATAAATTGAGAACAAAGGAGAACATATTACTTTTAAGTCCTTATTAAAAACGATTGTGCGGGTTTTCGACAAATTTCGGCCTTGGTATCTGTAATGTCCTCTGG